TTTAGCCCCCTAATCCCGGCAAAAAAAACGATATTCTCTTCATGCTACTGTAGATGAAGGAATCACCGAGCCACTTGAGTGGTAGACTGCCGGGTCCTTAAAATTATGAGTAAGCCAGACGGTGAGAATGATGACGAGAAGAGAGAGGAGAGGACGAGAGAGGAAATGTTGATAATGACGGGAAAATAGAGAGGGCAAGGAGACACACTTCAATAAGACTCTCCTTCTTATCACATTCAGCATGCCAAGCTGCCTGCAATGAACAGCGTGTCAGGGTGAATGCCTAGAGCTAACACCATGCGGTCGTATACGGTTACAATAGCGATGGGCAGATTTTCCCGCTACCGACGCCATGCAAGTCCGGCCAGAACACGCCAGCTTTCTATCCTTCCTTCTTACCATCGCCCAAACACGACACGTTAAAACGCAGCATTCCATCATCTTTAGCACGTTTTGATCGCGATTGCACTCGACTCTACAGGAGCTTACAAGTCACTATACACGGATCGTCACTGCCTGTATGCCTTCACTATTACATTTTCTTCGAGCTTAAATATGATGGGACGTCACAGCCCAAAGTCAGTACAGCCTACTCACTGCCACTGCCACGGGCACTGGTCAGTGGTAGTGTGGCACTGCTGTGATACAAGATTCAAGAATAACCGATTTACCAGAATCCCCTACAACTAAAATCTTTACTTTATCCAGGTTTATAGTTGAAACGCTCATGATACAGTTGAAAAGCTATGCAAAACTGGAATGTAACTAGAAGTTTAGTAGCTACTCGAAGTTTACGTAGGGTTCATGAAATTTGTACTGCCGACTTCACGTAAATGATAAGTCTCATTCGTTTACTAACAGGTGGTGCTGATGGATAGGCCTACTGCTCACTTGTTTACAATGTCAATGGATCGTCTGCAATGTATCGCATAGATTCCTTCTTCATTATTCAATTCGTTCATTTCGCCTTTATACCTAAATCAAATGCGTATTACTACGGCTAAATAATGTAGCCCAACAACAGGGGTCCAAGAACAGAGATAGCACAGTACGTGCGCGTGTGCCTGTTTGTGTATATATAATATAACTAAATATAAGTAAGAAATAGTCAAATACAAAGTACTTCACTCCACAAGTTGCTCCAGTCCACACTCGTTAATCCCACTACACCGGCACTTGAAGCGTTTCAATAAAGGAAGTGGCTATTCTTACGACGAGTCGTAAGAATTATTTTTGGACTATTCTTACGACATGCAACGCGCTGCGTATTTCGTTAAACACCACAGATTGTTTTTGTAAGATATATTACCTATATAAGAAATGGAGTCCGTTTATCTATAGTTTGTGTTAGGGTTAGGGTTCGGATAAGTGTTAGGGTTAGGGTTAGGGTTCGTCTAAGTGTTAGGGAGTAGATGTAGTTGACTCCCTAAAGTAGAATAATATTACTATTAGCTATTAATACTATTAGTATTATGCGCCTGCGCGTTGCATGTCCTAAGAATAGTCCATAAATAATTCTTACGACTGGTCGTAAGAATAGCCACGGCCTTCAATAAAATATAGCTATATATTTAACTGTCGCCGTGCACAGCACACGACCCCTGCGTATATATTTTATTGAAACGCTTCAAGTGCCTGTGGTTCATTCAGTCTGTTAACTGTTGTTTTTATTGATCAGTTTTAACTTGTAATAGTTTGTATCTCTCTCCCTCACTATCGCTTGCACTCTTCTTTCCCTGTTGATGTCCACACCAGGGTTCTCCCCAGGATGAAATTGAAACAGGGGGAGGGGGAGGGGGAGGGGAGAGGAAACTAGGGGGTCCAGGGGCCTGGTCGAATCACTGGCAGCAAGAACAAGTCCGCACCTGCAGCTACAACACAGAGAGAGAGAGAGAGAGAGAGACGAGTGGTTCGACATTAGCTGAGAGATTCTCTTGAGAGGATTACACTGCGCATGCGCTGACTGGCTAGCGAACTAGATATATGCGATATATACGCTAGCTGAGTAGCTATAGGCTAGTCCTGGGGTTTACGATTTGTTAGAACTTGGCTTTGTTTCTCATGTACGTGTTATCCTTTCACATCGTCCGCGTTGGTGCAGCACCACTGCTATACTACTCTTACTACAGTATCTGTTCTACTCTTATTATTACTACTATTACTACACCTGCTAACATTGTTCATTCTGTTATTCGTGAACGGCTATCATGAAATTTATTTATTAATGTTCTATTCTCAATAAACTCGTGGAAAAAATGTTAAAAAGAAAATCACGCGTTTTCTACCATTCTTCGCGCCGTCTTCAGTTTCCCGGTGAAATTACACCGACTGTACACCGTGTGTCTGTGACGTCACGATACCGACGAGAATTCGCGCATCGACCCCCCTCCCCTCCCCGGGGCGCCGCGACCCAGATCAAACACTCCTGTCAAACGACAATAATGCGCGGAAATTCGTCAAAGGCACGAATTTATCAATGCGGCTGTCGCATTCACGCACGCGCGCTGCCGCCGCCGACGCCAGCGGCGGGGTCACGTGACGAAGCTACCGTCGCAGCGTGTGAGTCACCGCGAGTGACGGATCTGCGGTTAGTTAGCGAGAAATTTAAATTCCGACGCCAGCCCCCCCCCCCACTCGGAGAAGATTTTTTAGGTGCTGGCCGGGAAAGTGTTCCAGACATAGAGACAGATCGATACGGCGGGCGGCAGAGTAGAACTACGTAACAAGCAGCAACAGCAACATCAGCAGCGGCGGCGGCAGCAGCGGCGGCGGCGGCAGCACTACTAGTAGTAGTATTAGCATCAGCATCAGCAGCACCACCAGCAGCAGCAGCAGCAGCAGCCGTAGCAGCGGTAACAGCAGGATCAGTAATACTAGTAGCATCAGCAGCAATAGTACTATTACCAGCAGCAGCCGCAGGAATAGTAGTAGTAGCCGCAGGAGCAGCAGCAGCAGCAGCAGCAGCAGTAGCAGCAGCAGCAGCAGCAGCAGCGGTAACAGCAGCAGCAGTAATACTAGTAGCATCAGCAGCAATAGTAGCAGTACCAGCAGCAGCCGCAGCAGTAGCAGGAGTAGCAGCAGCAGCAGCAGCAGCAGCAGCAGCAGTAGCCGCATATGCAAAGATATCCAGCCTAGTTATAGGTATAATGATTAGAACAAACCGTGTGACGTTGATACTCGTGACACAATACGTGTGCATGCAATGTGTGTGCGCGTGCATGTGCGCGCGCGCGTGTGCGTGCGTATGTGTGAACAGCCTACCCAACACTACATGTGGTATATAGAAAAACAAAAGAACTACAGAACTTACAAGTCGAAACAGACGCAATGCAATAGAAAAACCCATGAACCAGCATTTTGCAACTTCAGAGTTTATTATAACACACTTCAACACGCGCGTATACAATAAGCACGCACGCACGCACGCACGCACGCACGCACGCACGCACGCATACGTCATGTACGTGTGAAAAGCCCGCACCGATCAAATTCCCAAGCAGGAAACAAATACACCTGAATCGCATACATACAGGTATTCCCCTATCACAGTTTCTTCTACGGCTCTCTTCCTCCCACCTTCTCCTTGTCCCTCTCTTTCCCGCCCCTCCTCCCTCCCTCCCTTCCCTTGACCCTCTTTTCCCTCCCTCTCCTTGTCTCTCTGTCTGCCTCCCTCCCTCCCCTTGTCCCTCTCTCTCTTCCTCCTCCCCTTGTCCCTCTCTCTCCTTCCCTTCCCTTGTCCCTCTCTCTTCTTCCCTTCCCTTCCCCTCCTCAATCCCTTCTACCCCCCCCCCTCTATCGCCTCCTTTCCCTTTCATTTTCCCTTACCCGTTCCCTCCCGCTTTCTCTCTCTAGCCTCCCTCATATCTCTTGCTCTCTCTAACCCACGCACTATCTCATGCTACTGTAGATGAAGAATCACCGAGCCACGAGGTAGACTTCCGAGTCCTAAAATAAACCAGCGGAGTGAGCTTACAAGTCACTATACGAGCTTATATTACACTTTTCTTCGAGCTTACACATTACTTGAGAGTTAATGCATTAGTTACAGCTTACACATTACTTCTGCTTAATGCATTAGTTCGAGCTTACACATTACTTGGCGTTCACGCATTACTTGTAGCAGCTATTAGCTCCCCTGCCACTACGTCCCAGCACGGGTGAAGCCCACCACTGCATAAGCCCAACAAAACCATCCCTCCTGGGAGCGAAACCCAGGAAGTAATCCCTACAAGAAGAAAGTTAGCGATCCGGTGATTTTTTGCGGAAAACCGTTTCTTTGATACACGCGTGTGTATTCCGACGACGATACACGTCGACTGCTGCCACCTAGTGAGCATTCCTGCTCGACGCGGCGATTCAGTCGGCTGTTTGCATGATACGTAGTGTTTACCTGGGGACACTTAACCCGAGACGGCCGCAACACGAAGCGACTATACAGGTGGTTGTTCAAATAGGCATACGCGACCTGTTCTTAGAGCGGCGCAGAGATGCAATGCTACTCCGGCTGTGCTGCGTTGCCACCGGATTAAGTTGGACGGTTAAAGTCGGAGCGAGTTAACGCCAGTAAAGTACTCTATCTCTCTTTCTTTCTCTGTCTGTCAGTCTGTCTGTCTGTCTCTCCCTCGCTCTCTCTCTCTCTGTCTCGTTGTCTCTCTCCCTCTCTTTTTCTCTCTCTGTCTCACTCTCTCTCTCCCTCTCTTTCTCTCTCTCTCTCTTTCTCTCTCTCTCTCACTCTCTCTCTCCCTCTCTTTCTCTCTCT